AAAATAGGGTAAGAAAGGCCTTTGGATGTGCAAGCCCAGTGAAGAAGACAGCTTTGTAGATGTATTTTGCGCATATAATGTGAAATGGGGTTGCAGCCTGAAAAGAATTTTAATTTTAGCCAATAATGTAGCTGCGTTGATCTGGTTCATCTGTTCACAGCCAAATGTTCTGCGTTGGGCGAAATCAGTAGGGGGAAATCACCAATATACCCGAACACACAAATCCGTGCTTAGCTGTTGCCAGATAATCTAAATACGGGTTTGTTGAAATTAATTTTCTTCTGATAAAAAGTTAAACCTAAAGGGCTGAAAAATAAAGACTGATTTTCACGTGTGGAGCAAGAGCTTAAGCATGCAGCATGCGTTGAAGCAAGAAGATCAACTCACCAAGCACTTTGTTCTTTGCCATAAGTTTGGCAAGTTTTTTAGCGATAGGAACAAAAATGCTACTTTTGAAACTGTGAGCTACTTTCGTCTACGTATTCTACGTTTTAATATCAAGCATCCACATTGTTGTTTAAGCATGATTCGTCTGAAGCCGATCAAGGAAGACTACACTTTTACTATAATTTGCTTGCGCGTGTGTGAACGGCTCACTTTTGCTTCATCCAAAAAGTTTAAAATGCGCATGCGTACTTCAGCTCTTGCTTCTTCCATTTCAGGCGGCCGAAATTGAGGGTCTCAATCAGTAAGGGTTTTTCAGATAACGGTATCCCGGTACTAGTTTTTGGAGGAAAAGTTATGGACATAAAAATTATCAGTTATTTTGGGGCAATCAGTTATTGACGAGTTTCTTATGAAATTTGCATCAGATCCAATTGCAGTTTGTTTATTTGAAAGTCGTTTCCAAATATCAGCATAAAACATGTTATAAAAATAAAGAAGGAAAGCACATCGCATGCAAATCCAATTTATTTTTCGTGAGGTGAAGGAATAAAAGCCAAACTGTTGAAGGCAAGGGATAATGAGCTACGTAAAATGGTTATCAGATTGATCTCATTCACTATTTTCTGTTGTTACTCTGATTAAATAGTAATTATTTCTTTTTTTTCAAAAAACGAGACATTTTAATTAAGAAGTGATAATAGACAACATTATAAAAATTCTCATTGTACTCTTCATCTCCCTTCAGCATACAAAATTAAATTTTGTATCATTAAAAAAAATTTGTGTTTAAATTTTTTTTTACAAAAATTTTAACGCATTTTATTTTTAATGAATTAAAATGCGAAAGATCACAGCCTACTATACAAAAACAGTCACATTTTGACAGAAACTTCCTTAGGCCTGAGTTATACGACTCCAGATCGGGGCTGAGATTTGATTCTCCTACTGAAGACTGCTTTAAGATACAGGCTTCATTTTTGGCTTGGTTCATAGACCAAAATACAGTAAAATGGTGGAGCCTGTACTCATTCTGCGGTTTCATAGCCAATCTTGAATTTATTCAATGAAATTTGCTCAAGAACAACTGCTATATGATATTATCTTGGTGTAATTTAACTGAAATAAAACTGAATTTTCCTACATTTCAGGGTATATGGTTAAAGCTCAAAATTTGTAATAGAAAAATAAAGATTTAAATGGTTTAAAACTTGGGCCATCACTACAATTCTTCTATCTGGGAGATTTTCCATCTTGGCCAGACACTGCCACGGTCTCACATGTCGTGAAGTTGAATACTTTGTATAAACAGCAAATAATGAGAGCGATAGGTTTCTCAAGTTATCTACGGAAGAAGCTTTTCCGACAAGTGAAATAAGCCATGCACAGAAAGTAGGCAATTAATAATTAAGGCAAAGAGCGCAAAACAGTTTCGCCCGCTGTCGGCCTTCATTTTCTAAGCAACTTTCAAACTATGGCTTGTATATACAAATGTCGTCAAAAACACCGACATTTTAAATTTCATGGAAAATAACGAAAACAAGTGGACCATGAATCTTAGGAAAAAACTTCGCAGCTTAAGGTGGCCTTTCTGAAAGGCCGCAGAATGATTTCATAATAGCGATGGCGACCATAACATTCTTTATAACAAAAGAACATTGCTATCATGGTCTTTTCCATAGTTGAATCTAAGTTTTGGCACTCTCGTTAGAGAGGCTAATTACGGTAGCACAGGCACGGTTGTGCAAATGTTACATGTTTCTGCATGTTGCAGGTTGCAGGCAACCTTGCTTTTTTCAAACTCTTTCCTGCGATGCAAGGAGAATAGACAAAAAAGGGAGAACATGTGTTAAGGAAATAAGGTCGACTCTTGATAAAAACCGCTGTTTCGTTTGAAGCAAAGGAAACCGAGTTATGCTGGAAGTTACATCGCCATGCTAAAATAAGCAACGAAGACAGGCCGCCAAATGGAAGAAGAAAACCAGCACCAGAGATATATTTACACGCGGAGCGGCACATTTACAGTTAACCGCGACTCAAAGATACCGGACTTGAAAGAAGATGGCACTTGAGAAGCGTCATTCCCTATTCATTGAGGTGCGACCTAACAGATCAGTTTGTGTGTCATACGTGTTGGCTGAATGGAGAGGTTTCTTTGATGATGCAGGTACCACGGCGTGCTCATATTCAACCTCCCTAACCGCAATGACACTTTCCACATTAAAAAGCCTTCCGAAATCATTTACTGCGATAGTCATGGTTGAAATTTATCTGAAAATCTCGATACAATTAACAGAAGAATTGAAGCGGTCATTGAAAGGAAATGAATCGTCTTTAAAAGGATCACATTTTTCACTAACGGTCTCTTTTTGACAAGAAGTGATATTTTTCATTAATAACTGAATGCCTCAGCTTGTATGTGGTGATTTTCCTACAAAATTTGGTAGCTTCAATTGCTCGATTCAAGTTTTTAAGCACAACCAAATAAAGCAACAATACTGAAACAATGAAATTATGTTCTCATTCGAAGCAGCTTTTAGAATTAGCCATCTTCTATTCTAATCAGTTTAATAGGCCCCCTTAATTAAAGGAATCTTTAAACTTGACAGGTTCACTTCATTATCAGAAGCCCTCTAGCAGTTACAAAGAAATGCTTTCTCTGGCCAATGAGCAATGCTTCCTCAAATTAGCAAGGAAGACATGGCGTGGTCAGGGTGTGGTACTTTAACATGATTTTCATTGAAATTCCTCACCGTCCTTCGCCGTTTGACAGTCATTACCGTGTTCGTGGTATAAAAATCTGATCTCCGCTGTCAATTTTCCAGTTACTAAACAAACAACAGACATTTTCATTATTGAACCAGGAACTGGTAAACCTGTGAAATTCTTACACTTTTTTTCATACGATACACCATCCTCATTCTAATGTCAGGCAAATTCAACATGTTTTTTTAATCATCATGAACCACTTTCCTTAGGAAAATTGCTTTTCATTGATAATGAAAAACGTACGATATCGTTTAAGTTTTTGATCAAGAGAACATGGAAATTTACCGCCATCGAAATGTCTTCGACTGCAAACCTATTCAGTATTTCCAAGTGTTTTTTTGGCATTTTAGCAAGCTTGGCTTTTTTACATTCGAATATCGATTTTTGGTTTCTAAGAAAACATTTCACCGGAAAATGCAACGCAAAGTAAACAACTGAATTTTTTCATAATAATATTGATCTTTAGTGAATGAAGAGATAAAAATTAGATTATCGATTTAAAAAATTCCTAATGTCAACACAAAATCGGGAATGTAACGGATTGAAAGCACAAATAAATAACTTTCAGAATAAATCATACGTATGAAATCACAATATACTTCAATTAAAAGCTTTTTCAAAACAAGGCAAGCCGAATCTGAATTGAGAGAATAACTCTAGGCTGCCCAAAACTACATCGAAAAGTTCTAATTGCTGTAATTTTCTAAAATCTAGTTGATGTACATGCTGGATGCTTTCTGGTTTGACTTCAAAACGAGATCAGCCGGGGAAAAGAAGGCGACTTTTGAGGCTACATTAGGCAAAGAGGACGGAGGAATTAATAAAGCCAACCCACGTAGCAAAATTTTGAAAGATGAATTACAACAAGGATAAGCATGAAGGGTAAGGAACAACCATCACTGCCAGAACTTTAACACAAGTTTTTAAGGTCGAGCGCAACCATCTCCTTTCGCTCCCCTGAAAAATGTTTGCTTACTACAAAATGACGAGAGATAAGGAAGAAGGTATTTTTATGATAATTTTATGCTACTTGCCTAATAATGCTTTTCGGGTGAATGGGGAAGACTCGAGCTTAAACCGTTGAGGGTTGTAAGATGAAAAATCCCTGTAGACAGGGGGCCGGGATGACTCCCAAATGAAGCTTACCAAAGAAGAAGCTGTAAACTAGCTGCAGTCACGTGAAAAGTAGAAATCCCTTTAATTTCATAAAGTTATTAGGCCCAAGCAGTAGCATAGCTAGGACGTGTTCAGAAAGCCTTTGGGATAAATTTACCCCGATATCCTTGCACTCAAACCATAGAGCAAGAAACTGAAAGGACACCTTCCAAGATATAACCTTGAATATGTGAAAAAGCTTCCACTATTCAGCTCTTACTGCATGGAGCAGCATCCCTATCTCAATCAGGGAACTGCCAACCCTCCCGCATTTCAAAAGAATATTAAAATCATACTTCAAAAGCTGAAGTATTTAGTTTGTAAATTTAATTTGAATAGATAGCCTTTTGATATGCTGAAGGGATTTATTGTGTATAAACAACTTTATATGAATATAAATATGAGTGTGAATGAATATGAATATGAAGGTTGGATTTGGGGGGCAGAGGTGAAAAATATTTTACTCATTCACGTAAAATCTCGTACTGAGAGCAGTACGGATTCATGAACAATTAGATAGAGAATTACTGTCTACTGTTGAGCTATGAGAATGGTACATAAAATCATGGACAAAACATAACTGAAACAAGAAATAAAGAAAGGAACAAACAAATAAACAATTATATAAATATATCGATAAATATTTCAGGCAAAAAATCCGCGTTGAGAAGGAACACCAAAAAAAAGACCAATTATAGCCCCAAATGAGCTGATGGTTTCTGCAATATACAAAATGCCTTCTTTTACGAGAGATATCTTTGGAAAAATTCAACAATTTAATGCATAGTTTAAAGTATTTTAGCTTACAAGGTACTCTTTTTAGAGTTGAGGTCATCTGCTTGCACATTTTTCTTGAAGAAGTACACGGGCAAGATTTCTACTAAGTCCTAACCTCAAAAGAGCCAGTTTGTCTTTTTCATCATCCTGTTGTTCCTGCAAAAAGAATATAACAAAGGCTTTAGGTCATTATTTACGACGCATAACATTAACGCTGCGATCATCACTTGCTAGTCTCCCGGAATCAATAGTAGATTTTGTTTGCCAAACAGGGTGGCATGTAAAATTCTGATGGGGGTAAAACTGTCTTGAAAAACCCTAGGCTATCCGAAGAAAAATAATCTTAACTTTTACGGTGAAGTGAGAAACAAACTCATTTTCATCTAAATTAAATATCTAATTGAGGAGTCTGCTGGCCTTTATTTTGCACATATGCCTCCAAGTTTTCAGTTAAAAACTGTGGTCAATTTGTTGCAACATCCTACCCTTCATTGGGCTTTGGGCTCTCAATCTCACAGGGGGACACCAGGGCATGAGAGTTTAGTGTTAAGATAATGTCCGTTGGACGCAAAGAGTGATCTGTGGGTCTTTGCTCAATGGTTATTCAATCGTATTCTACGTTTCACGCTTAAAGATGCTTATTTGCTTTCAAATATGTAGCAGGTTTTTGCTTGTAATGCATAACTTACAATGAGCCGGATAAACAGACTGAGATGGATAAAAAGAGGTCGGTTTGCTTTGCACTCGAATCCATTCGAAATTCTTAGCAACAAGGGCAGGTGATTCTTGTTCAGCGGTGGATTTCTTGCAAAGCAACCTGTCGGATGCGAGACGTTTTTAATTCGCCGTCAAAAATACTCCAAGTGATCAGCTCAACTGATTCTGGGATCATTTGCAAAACTGGAATCTTCAAAGCATTGCTGGTCAATAGGGCAAACGACAACAAAGCACCTTCTAAAAGAGGCCCGATCCCGGCAGTTCTTACTTAGGTTCCTTTCTTCTCAACCACGACTTAACAAGTTGTGAAAAAAGGTTCATGGGCGTAAGCGAGTAAGCCAATGATGAAAAAGGCAGATTAATACAGGAGAATGCAGGAGTGTTTAAACAAACACTAGACCAATGTAAAAAACCTTCTGTGATGCTTCATGTCAAGCAAGAATGACCAGAATTCAATTTTGGCGTTCAGCCAAACTTTTCGGAAAATAATGCTAGAATTACTAAAGCTATTCTAAATTTCAAATCAAGGCTACCCTGTTTGAAAACGAGGCTAGCGCAGGCGCCGAATAGCAGCATATTTGTTCGATGAATACAATATTAAACTGCATCTTAAACATAAACAGCTAACAAACCAACGCAATCAATTAATCAACAAATATTATATATGTAGTTATGTATATTTAAATATACTTAGCCCATATTTTTCACTTGATTTGCTATCACTTAATTTAAAATTATGCCAGAATATATGCTAAATGACATTTTTTGGCCAAAATTATGCTAGATCTAGTCACACTGTGTTCAGCTTTACATAAGAGGCACTTAAAATAAAACTGTCATCTAGCGACGACTGATATGAACCTTCAGTTTTAGTTCTCTTTGTTATCACCCTTACTTATATTATCGGCCTTACTTTGGTTCTCTGCCTTCCCTTTTGTTATTCTCTGTCGATCCCTGCTTTCTCTTCCGTGTTCTGCCTTCCCTTTTGTTCTCTACCCTACTCTCATTCTTTGCCTTACATTCGTTATTTGCTTTATTGCCTTGCTCTGGTTCTCTACCTTCCCTTTTGTTACCTGCCTTCCCTGTCGTTCTCTGTCTCATATTCTGTCTTCTCCCTTCCCTTTTGTTCTCTGCTTTACATTCGTTCCTTACTGCCTCACTTACATTCTCTGCTTTCTCATCCGTGTCCTGCCTTCTCTGTCGCAGAGTCCAGGAAACATTACGGTCGCATGGTCATTGACCGGAGGAAGGTTTGAAAAACAATAGAAATTTGGAGGGAGGTTTCGGTAAAATAAAATTTTAAAAAACAGTTGAGAACAGTCATTTTGCACTTGTTTCTTCGTTGCCCTTTTAAAACACACGTTGAATCTGTCGCAGAGTCGGTAGGTGGCATGAAATGACACACAATTTTTAGGCCACGTACTTTCACGGCAAGTAAATAAAACTGAGGAGAGATGTTGTTCGTGTTCCGTTGTGCTGAAATTTTTCAATCTACATTGTATCATGTTCCCATCAATTTTATTAGCCAAAATTTAAAAATAAATATTTCTTCAGCTGTAATGTGATCCCTTGTGCCCTAGCCACTTCCTAGTCACGCCCTGTCCAAGGTGATAGCTTGAAAAACAGGGGAAAGGTTTTGACGGGGAAAAATTTGACAGGAAAAAGGTTGAAGACTTTTCTGGACTCTGCTCTGTCGTTCCCTACCTTCTATTCCGTGTTCTGCCTTCCCCTTCGTTCTCTGCTTTACTGCCTTTCTTACGTTCTCTGCTTTCCCATCCGTGTCCTGCCCTCTCTCTCGTTCCCTGCCTTCTATTCCGTGTTCTGTCTTCCCTTTCGTTCTCTGCTTTACATTCGTTGCCTTACTGCCTTACTTATGTTCTCTGCTTTCTCATCCATGTCCTGTCTTCTCTGCCGTTCCTTGCCTTCCCTCTGGTGTTCTGCCTTCCCTGTCTTTTCCTGCTTCCCCTTATGTGTTCTGCCTTTCATTCCGTGCTCTGTCTTCACTTTCGTTCTCTGTCCTATTGCCTTTCGTTCCTGCCCTATTTATGTTCCCTGCGTTACTTTCGTTCTTTTAATTCCTTTTAATTCGTTCTCCCTTTCGTTAAGAGAAAAAATATATATTCATTTATATTTATTATTTTTGCCAAGTTTTCTGTCAAATTATTTTTAGTCACTGTAGAGAAAAGGTCACATCAGTTGCCTTAGTTGTTCTAAGATAAACAGCAGAATATAAATTATGTATACATGTCTGCCTGCCGACTTCTGATCCCTGCCTTTCCCTCCCTTGCATACATTATCTGCTCTCCTTTTCGTTCTCTGCTCTCCTTTTCGTTCTCTGCTCTCCTTTTCGTTCTCTGCTCTCCTTTTCGTTCTCTGCTCTCCTTTTCGTTCCCCGCTTTCCTTTTATTCTCGCTTTCCCGAATGGCTTTATAAAGAACTCTGTACTTGGCGAAGATTGTAATCATTGCAAACGATAACTGTTCTATAATTCCATCGCAGTTGCTACCAGACCAGAGAAAAATTTTGTCTTCAGTTAAGAAACAATAGCATCTATATTTTTCAATAAGATTTTGAAATAAGACGCTCCCTGCTCTAAGCACAATTACAAACTAAAATTACTCACGTTAATATTGCCACAATGCAGTTGACCGAAGTATTCTTTCGAGTTGATAGACAATTGCAGTTCTTGCAAGCAATGCATAATTTCGTATGTTTGAGTGCTGCTGAAGATTATCTAGAAACAGCAAGAGAAAGGAGTCTGAATACATTGCGAACTCAATATACTCCTCACATTTTTACAGTAATCTACTTGAGCGCCTTTAATAATACTTGATTGTCTTGATCGTATATTAGCTAGGGAAAGTTCGAAAACCTCAGATAAAGCACAAATAATGTGATTTGCAATAACGTTTGTTAAGTCTAGATCTTGCTATATGTTGTAATTTCACTGATAGGTTGACGAATATTCAATACGGTGTTAATTAGAAAGGTAGATTGGTAGCCAATTCAAGACCCAATCATCTTATTACAACAACTCAGCTGCCCAAGCAATCAATTCGCATTCTATAAGTAAATTGATTTTGTAGGTGGAAGGTTTTTGTAACGGTTTTTTACTGCTACCCAGGCCTTCTGCTAAGATTCAATTTGAGCCAAGGTTCGATAGACTTGCTCCAAGTCTAAGGTTCGACGGCTCAGGACCAAAGTTCCACGCGACCAGTGAAGTAATACCTTCTGACTAATTGGGCCAGTGTCTGGCTAACTTGTCTGGCAGACATTTTCCAAGTTGCTGGTTGATCGGGCTTGGAGTGCCATGCATGCATATAACTATCACCCCAAGGGATACGCAAGGGGAATGAAATCCTGTAAGGCCCAAAAATGGAGCCGCATCATGTTGATCTAGATAGTAAATAGAAACAATTTTCCCGTTTCCACGCAGATAAGTTTGCCTGAAACAACGCCATTGCAGTGGACGAGCTAGGGCTACACAAAAGGCAGGGCCAGCTTCGAGAGGCGCTACTAGAACAACAGAAAAGGAGTTGAAATCCCGAATGATACCAGCCACACGCTTATTGATTGGCCAATGGTTGATTGACAGTTTACTGGCCAATGGCAGCACGTTATGATTGTATTTGGGAACTGAAGCTCTAACCACACAAGCGATTCTCTCCATGACGCTAGCGATAACTTGTACAATGCCTCCTTTACACCCATAGCCCTAACCAGTAGAAGAGATTATCGGTCTAGATCAGTTAGGACCGGATTTACCCAGAAAGGCTAGACCCTTTATCAGCGCAAACTCAGTTTGCCCGCATTGCTTCAGAAATACTTACAGAACCAAGAAATAAGAAAAAATGAGCGAAAAATCTGCGGCGTAAAAGGCTGTTGAAATCCCCATACTACCATAGCCAAATCCAATTAGAGGATTGAAACAACGAGAAAATGATTGGATGATTGAATCATAACATTTTGGGATGCTAAAGACAAAACACAGGTTAACCCACACCATAGACATACAAATAACATTTATAACATTCTCACTTTCTCAATGAGATATTCATAATGAAAAGGAAACACAATGGGCAATGGCGTCTGAAACACAATATTTGATTAAACTTTTATAAGACTGTTGCAATCGATTATTTCAAACAAAAAGACCCTAAGTGTCATTCGCTAGTTTTCCCCAAAGTCGCTATCAAAATCTTGTGCAAAAAATGAAATTTCTTCAAACTGTTTTGAGAAAAGCTCAAATTCTGCAAAATATGTCGCAAATGTTATCAACTTTAATCGACTAACGGAATACGCACTTAATATTTCTCCAAGGCGAAACAAAACATTGTTAAAAAAGATAACCTTTTCGTGTTCTAGCATCGGCAATGCATCTGTTAGCAGCGTCATCCAAAACCTGGGCACAGAGACATAAAATACGATGAAACTTCATGTACAAACAAATTTACAGACAGACGGTTTGGCATCGTGTAGCGAGAGGGCCTACAATTTCAAGACATGCGAGAGGCCTACGAGAGGGCCCTCTGTATTTAGAAGTAAAAGACAGCAAAATGTGCTAAAAATACGCGATTTACAAATGGTGGTTTTAAAGAGTGTTTGCCCATTACTCATTGGCTCCATTTATTCTAAAAGCACTCCTTGTTTGAAGCAAAAAAAAACGTTATTTCTGGGTTAAACAGATGGATACCATGGATCCTCGATAAGTGCCCCTCTAAAGCGGTCAATAATTGAATGATTAGCCCATCCCTTAAATGAGCGCCTTCCGTGCCTTATTTATGAATATCATAAAGTGGAGAATGCTTATAATGATGGGGAAGAAATGGAAAAATGTATTGATTTTGAGAAGAGAACTAACGATTTACTGTTTACTGAAGCTAAGAGCAAACTGATTCCCCAGCAATTGAGGTTTAATTTTTATATGCGAAATTAAAAAGTAATAAAGATATAATCAGCGCCCCATTTGAATCAGCACCACGTTCGAATGAGCGCCCTCCCCCTCAAACAGTGGGGATCATAATTGTTAACTTTTGTCGAATGTCAGGCTGATAATTATTAAAGGTGAGTCAATTCTAAATTAGTTCCACACAAGTCTATAACTTCTTGGGAATTACACCATACTATGCCACTCAGGTATGACCACAAGACCAGTTTAGAATTCTATATCGAGGGCAAACGTTGATCTTAGCCCCTAAATGAAAGATTTTCCTCTTTTATAGTATTTAATTCTCATCTACAATTGTTATTCTTCATCTTGTTGAGGCGGAACGACCGAGAATCTTCAAATATGCGAGGCAACCCTCCGTCATGGATACAGAGAGCGTGCGTAATAATGATTTCGTTCCACACGCATGTTTTTTTACTCCAGGAGGGAGGGATGCCTCACGCATTAAAAGACTTTTGGTTCCTTTCCTTAGCAACATCTCACCTCTGTGGAGCCAAACTTGATGACAGCAGTTGCATCAACAGCTTTCCCGCTTCTTGAAAGTTTTCTTCGTTATATAGTTTATGAAATTCTCTGTATTTCCCTGGGAAGCAAGAAGTATCAGTTAACCAAACATACAAATGTTTCCACAAAGTAGCTTGACGGACAAACAATAGCATTCCCATCACATTCTAATCAATCAAAAACAAGCCCTGAACGAATGCACATGCAAGAATGAAGAAGGAATAAGAAGGAATTATGTAAGAATTATAGGAATAAGGTTAGATGAAAATATGAGTTAAAGGACAAATATATATGTAATTTGTAGGCGAGGGAAATGGGAAATTCCTAGAAGCACAATTGATTATTTATCATAGAGACAAACCTATGGACATTGGGAAGTTACAAAAGTTTGGTACTTTGGGACTGTATCTGAGTCTCGCTATGACTTATTTTGTAATATATTTTGTAATGTCTAAGATCATATAAGTCACAGGGTGGATTGTATCAGTTTTTAAGTGCTCTCCCCAAAAATGTAGCTCGGTAATTAATTAAAAAAACCTTGAGAGGATTAAATCAACTTGTTCATATGTGCAAAATTTTTGTTCAACTCAAGGTGAGTCTAGTTTTTGGATCTACCAACTACCGAAATTATAGAAAATTGAAGAAATTATGGCAACTTGAAAAGAAGTAAAAGAAAATTGAAGAATTTATTGATAAATGGAAAGAATTGGCAAAAACTAGAAAAACGAATAAGCTTGACCACTTGGGTTAAATTGACCTTAAACTGTGCTTTTCATGACTTATGTTGTTGTTGTAGTATTTGCTGTCCTTATTGCAACTTCTAACTTGTTGCAACATCATAAAACTAATATTATAGCGCAGTTACTGTTGTATCTTCTTTACCTGATATATTCGATGGCTGACGATGAGAAATGACAATGATGACGACCTTTGGACACATTTGCAGTCACAGACAATCCCAACCCTTGCACAAACAACGAAACCAAATGCAAGAAACACCAAACAATCCCTTGCTAAGCTAATCTAAACTAATGCCAAAGGCAACTTTTAATTAATATGGTAAATAATCCTAGGCGATCGCAATTTTAATCTTGGAGAAGCCGCTAAAGAGATGCCTATGAACGAATGGCATTCCAGAACTACCCTGAAAGACAGTATTATGCGTGGCTTGGATTGTAAGGAAAATAGAAGAGACTGATGGTACGTTTGTGGATACAAAGAATTAGAAGTGACGCAGCCATCACAGAAAAGCAAGGCTCTTCGTGGTGGGTTATTTTGTATACTTAATGTCTTTGGTTTAAGGTGAATGAAAAGATCGAAGGCCTAACAAATTGTACTGTTAAAATATCAATTTTGGGAATCCGATAAAACTGACGTTAAATATGCAAATATTATTTTCCAGATGTCTTCACCAGTGACGGAAATTATTTGAACAACTATTTCATAACGAAATTCTTATCATTCAACAAAACATGCACGCCCGAATGTCGATCAGTCTTGGCAAGAAAAAGCTGTTATAAAATTTACCAAGCTTCTGTAAGTAAAAAGCAAGTTTTACTTTGCTAGGATATGAATTTGAAACCTCAATCCTACATTAACAATTTTCAACAATAATTCCCTCAAGCTTAATATACATCTTACGTCATTGGACGGCGTCTGGGGCTGTCCTTTTTGTACTTTTCATACAAATCAACAAAACTAAAACCAACACAATACTTGCAATGTACCATCCATAGCCAAAAAAAGACTGAGGGTCACCGAGTTCCGGCTGTGAATGGTACTTACAACAAACAACTCTTGATAACACTTAATTAAAAAATAGACAATTTCTAAAATGAAATTAAAGAGTACTAAGGCTTGTCTCAATAGAGATGTCAGAAGGTCCCACGAAAGCTAGAATGTAAGACTTGATTTAATTATTGATAGAGTAATTTCTACACATCAACCAACATCCCGAGAAAGACCTGAAAAGACCGAAAGGTGAATCACTTCATACAAACCTCGTAAACCTTTGATGGAAATCCTACTGTTTTATCTGAAAATCCTTGGAAATCCTTTTGTTCTGATGGAAATTTCTTACTTTGTTTGCAAGAATGAATCGCCCCTCGGAAAGTACAGATAAATATCTGCTGCTGTTAGGATTCCATTTATCCGTTGTCAAACCGACCCGTGTCTTTGATAAAGGGACTGATAAAGGGACCCAACAATCATGCTATTTTCTATCATGGTACAACGAGTATTTCAATATAGAAGAACATTATACTGAGATCTATCATCAGAGCAAGAAGGATCAATTCCTGTGATGCCAGAGATCTGGCCAAAGAGAATTAAACGAAGGGCATGGTACTGTGGACAGTGCAGAAGTATATATATATGTAGTATTTATCATATTGCTGTCTAGAGTGCTCAACTTATCGGAGCGATTAGACTATTTATTTTAGTCTATATATATATATATATTTTTCATCCTCGTTGCCTAAACTGCAAACTTCAAACAGGCAGTGGAATCCATGTCTGAAACGATTCTTATTCAGGACACTAAATTAAGCAAGGGGCCTTGATATATCGGATACGCGATATGTAGAACTTTGTGGCCATTTTAGTAGCCTGTGCGCGAAATCGACTGGTTTTCCCAGAGATTAAGGTTACGGTAAACGTTTTGAACACGAAAATTGGTTTTTCCTTCCTAAAGGCCAAACGGCTCAAGAAATCTGGATAAACTATATATCATTCGATGCACAAGATTATGGCGTATCTAGCCAGATAACAATTATTGGCAAATAATGTTAAATGTTATTTTCCATGCGAATTTACTTGTCAAAAAGTGTACCACCTTCAAAAGCTATTATGTACCCTTGCGTTTGAGGTAACAAAATCTGACTTAGACCAGCAGGAAATGCAGGTCCTAAGCTACCAAAGTGTGTCTCAGATTTTTTAAATTCCTCCTCTTTATGAAACTATACCCTGTCAAAAATTGGCAAATAATTTTTCCACCCTCCCGCAGCTGTATTTGGGTATAAAAGACGGACCAGAGAAAATAAAAAAATTTTGAGACACACTTTGTTTGCCCAACGTCTGCCCTGGCCGTGTGCAAATTTTCGAGCCATTCGATTGGTTCCTTGGGTACATAATAGCTTTTTCGTACCTGCATGTAGAGGAATTTCGAGTCCGGAGAAAACGGGATTTTACTGATCGCACTTGCAAGATACACTCGTAAACCACAGTGTAATCCGGGTCAAGTCACTTGAAGATTTAAGATCAATAAGCCTGTTTTAAATAAACACGGCCGTACATTGGATATATGGATGTGCCATGCGATATTGTAAATGAGACATGCGACCACAACCGCAAAGCAACGATAATCGGCTTAACAGGTCAAGAGATTTTCAGGCTTCAACTAAAAGTTTTGATAAAGAAATTATGGAAACCTTCGGTTACATGGGATTTTTTCCACTTTCAAAATTTCTGTTTGTTTCAAATTTGGTATCATTGTGTGCCTTGAAAGTTCGGCTACTTGAATGTGAAAAAATCGAAAAAATGATGTTTTCATCAAGAAAACGTTTACCGTAACCTTAATTTAGTTGAATGGAAAACTCACGGTTTCGAGAAACGCTAAATTTTCCATTTAACTAAATTCATCGATAGGAAAACCAGTCGAGTCTGCGCACAAGCTATCCTTTTAGTGGCAGCCGATATGAACAGTTAATTAAACGCCTCTAAAAAATACGCGGTAACGTTAAGCATGTTAAAATAGATACAATTATTGTGGTAGCGAAATTTGTGTAATTTTTTAAAAAAAGAAAAATATCAAAGAAAACTTAAAACACAGGAAACCATATTTGAGCCTTAAAATTAATTTGCCAATAAGGACTAGCCTGTGAAGGTTTTATCTTGATGGAGAATCTTGATAGCCAAGGCAAAGAAGAGTGGGGAGAATTCACCATTCTTGGTGACTTAAACTAAATTAAAAACAGCAACCTCAATCACAGACAAGTTTTGAAAAATATTGGAAAGCTACCATCTTAACCAACACATAAAGGATGAGATACAAAAAGAAATTAGTAACACCCTTGATGATGTCATTAATATTTCCTAACTAAATAAACCTTGCCATTCTTGGTTGCCTTCATAATGAGCGTGTTTTTGCTTTAGAGTGGTGCAAAACTAGCTACAATGACAAAGACATTACGATCGAAGTTTAACGCAAAACTAACAACTAAGGCTTTTCGAAAGAGAGAAACTAATCCCACTAAATTCCTCTCAAGAAAATGTCTGCAATCAAAGCTTGTGAAAAACTATATAACAAGCTCGTGAAATGATTCTCTTTGATATTGTTGAGATGTGACTTATATTTATCTATGTATGAACATGAACATCTACCATTATGAAACATTCTCCTTTCAGTGGTGCCTAGTTCTCTGACCGCGCACCACGTTTTTGTTACTTCGATTAGCAAGATGGAAGTTTGTTATGTTAACATTTTCTCTAAGTTTTACCTCCGTCATGATTCAACAGATTCAACAGATAGCGCTTCTTTTTCACTGTCTGATCTTTCCAAAATATCATTAGTACAGAGTTATATGCCTCATCTCTTCAAATGATTTGCTATTGCAATCAAGGCAACTGGTGACAATCTTACTCTTATTTTTTCTTATCCTTCTCTTGCCAATCCTCGCATTCTTTTTTGCTTTTCCCTACATTTTCCATATTCAATCACCTTTTTTCTTGCCATGCTTTAGTGTTCAGCTAGCTTATTCCTCCTGAAATCTTACTTATTTTTTTTACATCTTCATTTCAACTTACTTATCATTTTCATATCTTCTCTTCTTATTGTCTCTTATTGTCCGAATTATCTTCTCATTTCTCTCTTAGTTTATGTTGTTCATATTTTTCCCTCCCTTTTCAGTCATTCTCCCTCACCATCTTTTCTCTTTTTCTCTTCCTTCATGCTTTTACTTGCTTTATTTTGCTTCGCCTTCTTTTTCCTATTTTATCCTTTATTCTTTTCTTTCTCATTTTCTCCTATATATATCCTTCTCACCTTCTGTTCCTTTGTTTCTCATTCCAACATGTCATTCT